TTACACACAATGGTCAACAAACCCCCATTATAATTTTACTCAACTAAAATATAATTTAGGGCTTTTCTTCTATTAACTACAACATGCTAATTTATATTTATTTTAGCCAAGACAACAATCAATGAAGCCAAAACCATTCTCCACACAACCAACCCTAGGCTTATTTCATGATTTTCAAACAAATCCAACATGGTACAATTTTCATGCAATACAAAAATTACCACATGTCTATCTATAGACGGAGTATTGAAAAAGAACAAGGAGAATCCCTACCTCAAACGGAGAACTCAAAGGGAGAAGATGACCCGAAATCAAAGTGCTCCAAATCCCAAATTTCTTGGATCACTACGAAGCCCTCGATGATCAACACACTTCTTACAATGGCCCAAGGTGTGGAAAGCACTCTAGCTAGGTCAATCCTAAGAGAGAAGTTAGGTTTTAGAGTGAGGTGCTCTCCAATGGCTTTTTCGGAAAAGTAAGAGAGAGAAAGGAAATGGAAAAGTGATTCAAAAAGCTGAATCTCGATGTGTTATACAGGTCGCCCCGCTCGAGCGTCTAACTCCCCGCTCGAGCGTCACTCACAGATCCCCGCTCGAGCGTCCAATCCCCCGCTCGAGCGGCGGATGCACGCTCCCAGAACTATTACAGACAAGATGCCCGCTCGAGCGTCAAACTCCCCGCTCGAGCGTATACCACTGCAGACAAAATACTAGATGGGTGATCTCCCCGCTCGAGCGTCGAAACCCCCGCTCGAGCGGAGAGGTCAAAAACTGGGCAAAGATTCTAAGTTCTAAAACATCACCAACTTATTCCCAACAAGTCCAACACAACCCAAAACTCTAAGATAAAGAGTAAGGGATAGAAAAGAGGATAAGACAACAACAAATCTACGGAACCAAGCCCGGATTACAGTTCAATAACAACAGGGAATACCGGGATCGCTATGTATCCAGTAGATCTTTGTTCATTTGGTCACATTAATATCTTTTAATGGCTAAATGGGATTTGTAATCTCAATTGCTCTGCCACACTGCTACTGCTCCCCCATTGTGCTTCCAGTTTCCAGTATAAATTTTAGGTTCCTATTGCTTCTCAATTTGTAATTAGTTATAATGAAATTTTGTTCCGTGAATCTTACTCTCTGTTTGGATGGAGTGATATGGTAAAAAATGAAGAGGAAGTGATGTTTGGTTTATGAATTAGGTGAGGTATGCTGAGAATTGTTTCATTTAATTTTGGTGAGGATGAACTGAGTAGTTACACAATTTTTATGGGTAAATTACACTGATTTTATTAGATGAAAGGGGATGTGACTTTTGCTATTACCTGTTTGGTTTTTTGCATCAAAGAAAAGAAAGAACAAGAAGAACAAAGGGGCAGCCTAATGGCCAATTCACAATCCTCTTTCTTGGATGAAATCAGGAGAATTTTGTTCACCACATCACAAGATTCCCTAACACTTTGCACAGATCCTACCATGCTTACGATTCATGATCATCTATCCATCCATCCATCCCAAAAGAGGGTCCACATTAGAGGTATGAAAAAATTCCTAGAGAAGCCAAATCACCCCAACCTCAACCATCTCAAATTTTATTGTACTTTTTAATTACACAAAATTACATGAAGATATCAATCCCAACGTTTAAGAAAAACAAATTATTTAATTATAAGATTACTGTGTGTTTAATGAATATTTACTTTTGGAGGTTGCTCCTGCGTCCAGTTTATGGCTGTTTAGTATGAACAACTATAAATTTAAAAATCATAAAAAGAGTATAATTATCATCAAAAGCTTAGAAGCAAAAGGAAAGAACTAAAGATCATTTTTCAAACTCACAAGTGTATGAAATTCAAATGAAAAGGATAAAAGAGATTGCCATCTGGGGTAAAGTGTAATCATCCCCGAAAAGAAATATAGCGATCCCGGTTCTTTCTCCTTTGATTGTAGTATCCGGACTTAGTTCCGTGGATTCCGGTTGTTGTTTTGAACTTGTTTCTGTTCTTCAATTCTTTAAATTTGAGTTATAGAATGTTTTGGACTTGTTCGTTCCAGGTTGGGTGTGATTGGGAGCAGGTGGTTGCTGCCCAGGTTTTTAGTCCTTCGCTCGAGCGAGCTGTTTGTCGCTCGAGCGAGCGTGGAGTTTTGTGTCTGGTGGGTCGAGCCAGGGTGGCTTCGCTCGAGCGAGCGTTGTGTCTGGTACTAGGACCTGAACACTGGAATTCTTGGCTCGAGCGAGCTTCTGGTTTGTTTGCCCGCGCGTGAGTTTTCTGTGTCTGGTCGCTCGAGCGACCAGGTCTTCGCTCGAGCGAGTCTATCGTATTTCAGTAGGCAGCAGCGGGGAAAAAGATCATTTTTCTTCCTCTTTCATTCTTGAAACCCTAGCAGCCGAGAGTCTCTCTCTCTAAACTTATTATCTCTCTAGATTTCATCTCCTTCTAGTATGAATCCATCCTAGGTCCTTTGTTAAAAAGGTAGAGGGTGTCGAGGGCTTCGTCTTAATCGGAAAAATTGTGGATTTGGAGCACTTTGATTTCGGGTCATCATCTCCTTTTGAGTTCTCCTTTGAGGTAGGGATTCTCCTTGTTCTTTTTCAATACTACGTCTATAGATAGACATGTGGTAATTTTTGTATTGCATGAAAACCATTTTATGTTGGATTTTTGTATAAATTCATGAGGTTGAACTTTGGGTTAGTTGTTGGATTTAGATCTATTATCATTAGATGTGTTTTGGGGCTAATTGGGTGTTAATTAGCATGTTGTTGTTGTAAGGAGAGGAAACCCTAATATTTATTTGGTTTAATAACTCAATAGAGGGGTTTTGATCATTGGGTAAATACTTGGGTATTTTGGATTTTGAATGAAGCCATTGTTGTTTGTTGTAGATGATTGAACCTTTTTATCAATATTGGGAGAAGGGAAGGGAAATCCTATTTTAGTGATTATGATTTAATTTGTATAATTAAATTGGAATGGCTTGGAGATGAATGTAGTAGATTAAAATGAGCGTTGGCTTTATTGTCCTTGGATTTGATTTTGTGAAAAACAAAAGGAATAAAACCGGTTTTGAAAAAATAAAGAGAGTTGGTTTTGTGAAATGGGAAAGGTACTTTGAAATGAGTATGAATGTTGGATTGTTGTATCTTATACTACTATGTTAGTATTAATGATCAGTTGATGATCTCATGATATTTGAGTCTGTTAATAGATGTACAATAGACATGCATCTAGAGGTTTTGTCCTTGGTCATCGGTGGAGGATGACATGGCTGTGTTGAATTGTTGTGGATACATTACACCTATGTGTTTATCTACTTTAACTCGTTGTTAGATTCTTGTTGGTTATGTATATGCATTATACATGTTGGATATGCCTTGTTGCATGGTTGTTGTTGGCGTTATATGCCGCGCGTATAATCAAAGGTACCGTTACCTTCCAGCTAGCGCCTGGAGAACTGTATGCGCTAATAATAGAAGGCACCATACCCTTCCAGCTAGCGCCTGGTAAACTGGTATTTTGGCTTACTACGCACATAACTAGTAGAGCGAAGTTGGTTGTAGTTATTTCAGTATATCTTTGGTTTACTAAGCGCATAGCTAGTTGAGCAGGGTGGAATTGTTGTTGTTTAGTTGTAACTGAAAATATCATAGATTTGATTGGTTCCAGTTCGGAGAACCGAGTTACTCCATTGATTGATTGTATACATGTGGGTGGGTTGTAAATTTATATTTTTACAAGGTTATGCATGTATAGGTATGATAGTAGTGGAAATGAACCAAAATGTTTTTTTTTGTCTTTTGGAAAGTGTGAAGGAGAATGAATGTTTTAACGATAAACATGTTTTGAAAAGGTACATCTGTGTATGTATAGGAAGTGGAAGAGAGTATCGGGCTTAGTGAGATTATTTTCCTAAGTAATTGTTAATGTTATGAAAGAATGGGAATGGGGATTAATGAAAGGAATAAGGAAAGATGAATCGCTTATAGCGTTGAATGAAACGATTGTTTTCAAGAAAAGTTTATATATATATATTTTGTATAAACTGTCATATTACTATTCTAGTACGAGAATGAGTGTGCATGATCATAGCTATCTGTAAGTTGTTATTGTTGAGGATCATGTTGAGATCCCTACTGGACTTTATGTTCATCCCACGTTGTTGAACCTTTTTCAGGTGTTTAGCAGGTTGTGCTACAGGATTTGGATCTTTTTATTTGTTGGCCACGGGGCCTCTTTGTTGTTGGCGGAACACCATATGTGTAAAAGGGTTTCACCCCTTCATTTGTTTATTTAAAGGTTGTAAGTCCAAGGGCAATTTATTGAGTATGTTCATGTAACATTTACTTTGCATACGAATGAGAGTATTTATATTCATTTCTATGGATTGAATGTATGAGTTTATTTCCGCATGTTATCTCTGAAATTGAATTAAGTTAATGAATTTGGTAATGGCTTCGAGTAATAAAAAGTGGGGCATGACAAGAAACCTGAAATTATGGGCAAAAATGCAAAAGCTAAAGCTCACGAAACCTTTAACAAAAACTTTCTCATTTGCTTGAATTAGATATGTATGTTATTATACTTGGAATTTTAGCTTTCATCACTATGAAGTCAGTAAGTTTAATTGTTTAGAAGCACATTATTTAATTTTAATTTGTGTTTTTAGTGCAATCGAGGCCAAAGGCCAAGTAGACAAACAAAAGAAAAAAAAACAGAGCTGTCCATGTACACCCAAAGTTTTCCCCACCATTTGGTGAATCATACGTTGTTATTATTTATTATTTTTTATTTTTAATTTGGGAAAATAATTTCACATTATGATTGTCAATTTCGGTGTGTTTATTCATTTAAGCATATGGTCAAGTACATGGTAGATAAAGAGTTTCACATTCTAATTGTCAATTTATGTGTGTGTTTCATTTCGGCATATGGTCTAGAACATGGTGGGGGTGGGCACTCCATTAAACAGTTGTGAGGAACAAGAGCAGAGCTCGAAATAAACAAGTTAGAAATAATTGCAAAAAGACAAGAGGAAGAGAATGAAAAACAACAACAGTTACAAGCATAGACCAAAAAAATAGCAACAAATACACTACCAACAACAACAATAGTGACAATGGAAGAATGAATATATGTTTTACATTTAACAACAACTGAAAAATGGCAATGGAAGAAGAGCATACCTTTTCTGTATCTTTGATAAAACTGATAGTGATTTTGCAGCAATGAAATTGAACAATTTACACCTCTTAATAGCTTAGGACTTCAGGAACAAGCCTGGGTGAGAAGCCACCGCCTCGACAGCAGCGGTACAAGTGGCACGAATTGATGAAGAGGTCAGCACAGGTGTCCAGCACAACAACGATATGAAGCACCGATGTTGGAAATTTCTAGGAGGATGCACAGCTACTTCGATGAGGAAGGAGTAGAATTCTTCTGGTAGACAACCAAGCGGTCCCATTTGTCTATTGGAAAACGTTAGAAAGCAAGCAGGCAAGAGCGTTATACCGTTATACACTTTTTGGCCATGTTTGATTTCACAATACTAACAAGACTAACACTGAAGTGTTAATAATCTTATTAAATTATTGTGGTATAAATTATCTAATTGGATTAGTAGGATAAATTATCCTCTTGTTCATTGTTTGATTTGCATGGGATAAGAAACTTATGAATGTAGGATTACAATTATATTTATTTTCTTTTCCAATCTTACCCTCCATCAATGTTTTTTCATAATTTTTACTTTATCAAAATTTCTTCATAAATGTGATTTTGAAAAAAATTATAAATAAATAAATAAAAGCAAAATTAAAATACAAAATACAAAGGCCATGTTTGGTTTGTTTTTTAATTTTTTTTAAAATATATATAAAAACTAATTTGATAAAATAAATATAAAAAAAATATTAAAATTTTTAAAAATTATTTTTAGCTTTCTAAAATATAAAATTATATAAAAATAATAAGTATTTTAATTTTTAGTCAAGGGTAAAAAAATTTTTTATTTTATTTTCTTGTTCAAGATATATAATCCCACCCCTACCATATTACTAATAATCTTACAAATTTGTTGGATTATTTATCCATTGAATTAATAATCCTAAACCAAAAATTATATTCTCTTTTATTTTATTCATCCAGATACAAATATTACAAAACAACAATAACTTCTTTTATTTTATTCATCCAGATACAAATATTACAAAACTACAATAACTTACACAAAACCAAAAAAAAAAAAAAAATACTCAAAAAAATTAATCATTGTACTATATTTATGATGCGTGCGACTCATCTCTTATTAATTTTAAATCCACATCACACAATTATTTTTAGAGTAAGTCTTCACAATTCTTAGCACTTTTGTAAAAGTAAGGATATACAAACATAATTTTTATACAGAATAAATTCACGTCTTGTAATTATTTTATTCTCGATCAAAATGCCCACTATTATTTTTATCATTTCACAAATGCCATTAGTATATCATTATAAACGTATTTTTTGTATCACTTTAAAATTTACAAATCACATTCCATTTTATAAAACTGAATTAAAGGGTACATATATTTGAAACATTTTTTTTTTGTTGATCAAAAAAAAAAAAAAAAAATTAGCTATTAGATTAATAACCCTAAACCAAAATGTTAAAACAAACATAGGATAATTGGGCCTACAGATTAATAATCTCAATCCCATACTCTAATCTATCAAATGAAACATGAAGTATTAATAATCCTATTAAATTAGTGTGGTATTAATTATCCAATTGGATTAGTAGGATAAATTATCCTCTTGTCCATTATTTGATTTGCATGGGATAAGAAACTTATGAATGTAGGATTACAATTATATTTATTTTCTTTTCTAATCTTACCCTCCATCAATGTTTCTTCATAATTTTTACTTTATCAAAATTTCTTCATAAATGTGATTTTGAAAAAAATTATAAATAAATAAATAAAAGTAAAATTAAAATACAAAATACAAAGGCCATGTTTGGTTTGTTTTTTAATTTTTTTTAAAATATATATAAAAACTAATTTGATAAAATAAATATAAAAAAAATATTTTAAAATTTATAAAAATTATTTTTGGCCTTCTAAAATATAAAATTATATAGATTTAATAATAAGTGTTTTAATTTTTTTTTAAAATTTCTTTCACCAAATTAATTTTAAAACAAGTTCATAAAAACCAAACCAAACATGACCACCACCAACCCACCCACCCACACAAAATGGTAATTAAACACATGCAAACATGTCCACACACACATACACAAAATGGTAATTAAACACAGGCAAACATGGCCTAAAAGTACACATGCAAAATTATGTTTGAACATAGATTTGTCTAAACACAGATTATGTTTGATTCACCCATCAAGACCACACGTAACAAATTATGTTTTTTGTTTTTTTGATCCACCAATTCAATATTAAACTAAGAAAAGCAATGTTCACAATAGTTTGTAGAACAGTGATGTGTGTAAGCTAGAAATATAGCGTCTCCAATATCTTCTACACAACTAAATTCCCACATTATCAAATACTATTATATATTCTATTGTGTCGAATAAACCACGATCCCCAACATGTGTACTCATACGTGCCCTCCCAACAAAAGACATACCCACTCTAATTTGTCGGCATCGGAAAGACTGAAAAAGAAGTCAACTCGCTGAGCATCTTTGACAATGAGAGAACCTGCTATCAACCTTTGAGTTGATGTAAGGGGGAGCTTCAGAAGTTCAGCATTGACACTCCTCCTAGCTTGGGATAAGTCATGTTGATATCCAATCCTTTTAACAATCTCACCCAATCTAGTGTCCGTTTTGTCCAAAAAAGAGCCAAGTGTCTCTGTCATTGTAGCAATATTACTTGTGATTCCTTCAGTAGTCCTGGCTCTTTTTATTCCTCCCTTGCTAAAGGTAGAAGAGTTGGATGCATTTCCATTTGTAGACATTGAACACTCGAAGTCAGCAACATTGAATTGCTTAGTTGGAGAACCATCACCCTTCTTCCCCATGGCTTCCTCCACAGCAATTGCTTCAACTACATCTGCAGGATCTTCAGCTAACTCACCAGTGGCTCTGTCTTTGCCAAAGAGAACAAGCCAATCTTCATAATATGGAAATGACTTGTTTCGCATAGAACTCGCACTTGGTTGTCTCTACACAAGTTCAAAAGAAAGAAAGGACATTCAAGTATGCAGTACATAAACAAAAGTGCAGGGAGTGAATATGTACTTAGAGCTCTTTCAACAAGAGCTCAAATTAAACGTAAGCTAAATGAGATAAAATTGAAATGAAGATGAATAGGATATCTAGTAATTATGATGAGATGAACACTAAAAAATAGAAGAAAAAAACTTACCCGAACAAAGTTTTCCCAAACATCATCACTGTCAACAAGAACCATCCTCTCAGTGTCATTCCATCCAAACCCGCTAAGCTAAGTCATTTCATACAAAAGGCCATAGTGTTTCCTCCAAATTTTTATCTTTGACTCAATGTGAGGACAAGCACGAAGGTCACTTCCAGGAAAAGGCATGACAATTCTCTTCTCAAGTTTGCCATAAAACCCCGACTTAAATTGCCCATTGTCAATCTTCCATTTAGGATTATTACACAAATCTCTAATTGCACTTATGAGAAACAACTCCTCCCTCTTCGCAACTGCATCTGCAGGATCTTCAGCTAACTCACCAGTGGCTCTGTCTTTGCCAAAGAGAACAAGCCAATCTTCATAATATGAAATTACTTGTTTCGCATAGAACTTGCACTCGGTTGTCTCTATACAAGTTCAAAAGAAAGAAAGGACATTCAAGTATGCTAAATGAGATAAAATTGAAATGAAGATGAATAGGATATCTAGTAATTATGATGAGATGAACACTAAAAAATAGAAGAAAAAAACTTACCCGAACAAAGTTTTCCCAAACATCATCACTGTCAACAAGAACCATCTTCTCAGTGTCATTCCATCCAAACCAGCAAAGCTTAGTCATTTCATACAAAAGGCCATAGTGTTTCCTCCAAATTTTTATCTTTGACTCAATGTGAGGACAAGCACGAAGGTCACTTCTAGGAAAAGCCATGACAATTCTCTTCTCAAGTTCGCCATAAAACCCTGACTTAAATTGCCCATTGTCAACCTTCCATTTAGGATTATTACACAAATCTCTCATTGCACTTATGAGAAACAACTCCTCCCTCTTCGTCCAAATCCTACGACTCCCAATTGAACCAGCATCTGCCTTCCCCTTACTTTTCTTTCGAGAATGACTGGTAGCAACACTATCCATGCCTATAATAATGATGTACAACACATATTATTGATTTAATAGCTCATTCTAATATACAAAATACAAGTATGGAAGACAAGGTAAAAATATGATTGAAAAGTGTGCATGAACTATATATATATATATATAAAAGCACTCTTGATATTAAACAACTACTCAATCTACCTAAAATATAGATATTATTATGCAATCATGAAAGCAACAAATGGTTCTCCATGAAATAAAGATTAAAACAAATAAAATCGATTAGCTTGAAAAATAAATCCATCTCAACTACGTAAGATTCTCATTACATATTTTTCAATTATGAAAATAGACAAGATTCTCATCATTGCAAATAAAATATTTAAATAAACTATCTCAACTACGGAGGATTTCCACCAACTCCTCTATTTGCTTGCCATTCATTAAACATTATGTTTGCCAATGTATCCCTCCAATCACTCCATTGATTTGATGGCTCCACTGTATTGATGAACTCTTCTCCTAAATCAGGTTGAGGTATAGGAGTGTTATTTAACTCGAACTCAAATGGATCCACTGGCATTTCACGTCTGATGAGGTTGTGGTGAAGGCAACATACAGTAATAATACGACCCTGGGTCTTGATTGGGTAGTACGAAGCAGTTCTTAGTATTGCCCACCTAATCTTGAGTAGCCCAAAACACCTCTCAATAACATTACGAGTAGCAGAGTGCTTCATGTTGAAGAACTCCTCAGGATTCACTGGGATACCCCCTTCTCTCCATGTAGAGAGGTGATAGCGTTGACCTCTATACGGCGCTAAGAAACCCTCTTCATTAGTGTTACCCGCATCTACAAGATAGTAGAAACCTGAAAACAAGTATGGGTTTCATATGTATAAGTACTTTAAAAATTGGGCAATTAAGATTACATCAATTAAGTCGGCACCTTCAAACCATTTGGTCTATTCACAGCATCTCTAAGTACCCTAGGATCTGAAGCTGACCCTTCCCATCCAGGCAACACATAAATGAATTGCATGTCTTGGGAACAAACACCCAAGACATTAGTAGCAATTTCACCCTTCCGTGTTCTATATCTTGGCTTATCTATTGCAAGAACACGAACCCTAGCATAAGTTCCATCTAGAGCTCCAAGACAATTCTACCAAAGATCAAAATAAAATAAG